TAATTATATAAATATTTTTTTTTAATATCAATTTTAATAATTAATGATTGAATTTTACATCATAATTGCATTTGTGACGAATATTTTTTTGTGACGAATAAAATTGTTATAAATAACTTGTTAACAATGTCAATTTTTTCTATCACTATAAAATTATTTTCTGTGACAAGTGCCTAATTTGTCACTAAGAGCATTAGTGACAAGGGTTTTATTAACGGTTTAAATTTTATCACTAATAATAATTTGTGATAAAAAATAAAGATTTAATGAACAATAATTTAGTCACTAAATGTGAGTTTTCTTGTAATGTGAAAAAGAGATGGAGGATTTTAAAAAAGCTTAAGCGTAGATGATGTGCTATTGCGGAAAAGTTTTAAGGTCACAAATTCTTTATAAGAGTTCATTTCCCCCAAGAGACATTAATTTAAAATCCCTTAAGAGAAGTTCCAATGGATGAGCATGAGGCTTCCAAGTCAGCTATCTTTTGTTTAAATCTTAGGAAGGTTAGGTATGGGATAGGGTAGGTCATGGTATCTTTTTTTTTTTTCTTCTTTTTCTTTTTTTCTTTTGGGGGGGTGGGGGTGGGGCTTAGATGATCAGAGTGTCCCAGGCTAGCTTGTGCATATCTAATGAAAGCAGTATGTTGAATTTTCATTTAGTGAACTTTTTTTGTCACAAAAGAAATATTTAGCTTTATTTTCACGTATGTTTTAATTTTCCTTGTTATCATCACATTTTTAACCCCTCTTTTCGACAATAGGTAGGGCTTGAGGGGAGTTCTGTTGGTCAATGGTGGCTGGAAATGATAGACAAAACTTTGGGGGAGGGGTTGACATTTGAACGAGTTGGTTCTAGGCAACTGGAAGGCTTGCTCACAGCTGTACGCTGGGTATTTTTATTAGTATATATAGGTGCCTGCAGAACAAGAAGCAAGTTGTATGTTGTGTGTTAAATGCTATCAGTTATAAAACTTCAATGCAAGCTCTACTTTATTGGCTACCAGACTTAAAACTCCCAAGGCACGAAGCCAGGAGTTAAAACATAAAAAATCAAAAGCACTGACTTGTTAACAATATAGTGCCAGCAATAGGGTATTGGGGTAATGGAATGTTAACTTCGTAGACAATAAGTACCTGCAGCTGCTGCAGCACGTCGCCATGCCCGAAGTCGTT